TTTTTGGAAATGTCTCAAATTCGAACGGATCAATTTGTTTCTAATTCTAATCCATCTTTTTCGATCTCTAATTCAATTTTTCAATTAGTGATCAGTCGTCGATTGATTGCTCCATATCGTCGGAGCAATGCAGAGCAACTGACTGATTAGAAGAGTCCTAGTCTATCGGAGAGGGCGGTTACGTGAGACTCGACTCGGAACGCGCAACACTCGGCTCGCTCGCGGTTTAATTTAGAACAAAATGCACACTATACAAATACGAACACGCGACTCTACTCTACGATAGAGAATGTAAACATTCTGCATTCGATAGAAAATACTAACAAAAATAAAATCATATTTATTACTTTCGATATGCGAACGATTGCGACGCCAGGTTTGGCAAAAAAGTTATATGGAAATGCGTAAAAACACACACGGACACACACACACATATATATATATATATATATATATATACTAGCTGACCCGACAAACATTGTTTTGCTAAGTAAGGTATATTCTAAAGCTAAACAATTTCTAGAGAATCAAAAGATAACATAGTATAGTCCAATCCAAGTCTCTTTTGGTCTTTCGACTTATTGATTACGTTTCAAGTTTTTCAGATTCTTTTTGGATTCTGGATTTTGTGTATAATTGTAAATAATACTACTGAGATAGAAAATGAATTAAGTATTTCTTCTTTGACTTGCTTTTTGAAAAGTTTCAAGTAACATTCGATGAATTAAAGTAAATTTAATAAAAAGTATATATGTAGAACAGGGCGGGGCACAAAGGTCCAATTTGACTTTGAGCAAATATTAATCTTATATATAAAAATGGAGCTCTCTTTCAAATGTCCAAGTAAAACTCAAAAACGGCTAAACCGATTTGGCCAGTCTTAGTCTTGAAAAATTCGTGCCAATCCAGAGAAAGTCCAAAAGGTGAGAAATTATTTCAATTCCGCGTAGAAACTTTTTATTTTTAATTTGAAAATTTTTGTTGAAGCGTAATTTAAATAAAACAATGGACGGTGGCTAATACGTCAAATGTCAAATGTTTTTGATGATGATGTTTAATTACGTTTAATAGGATGTTTTACGCGAATATTATTTAATTATGATTAAATTGTAGTAAGTAGTTTTAATTGTAGTTTTATTTATATACAAAAACGTTAGTAAACGGGCCGCAAGTGTTACTAGAGACTCAAAATATCAACTTTTTTGAAATGTTAATATGAAAATGCACTTTTTGGCATATTTTTCTAAAACACGGTGCTCTGAAAGATCTCATTTGTATAATTATATACTCATTGGTATTTATAAAACATTTTCTAGGTTATATTATTTTTTATTTATATTATTTAAATTCAGAATCTAAATTTGGTATCGATCAAATGGACATTTTGTCGAATAACATTTTCCCAGTTATAATTTTCCAGAATTTATCGAAGAATAGATAGTAATATATGAAGGTCCGGGATTAAAAAGGTCCACCACCAATGTGAATCAGTAAAGTTAAGCATTGTTTAACAGCAATATTTGAAAGTTGAGGAAAAAAGATGTATACTCATGATTTGACATGAATAAAAGTATTTTCTTCCGTTAGTAGTTTTTTAGCATTAGTTAAAAATGTAATTATTTTGTAAAATACCTTTACAATTATAATAAGGATTCAAACCTTTTTGCCACCTGCGCGTTTCAAATTACCCCGCCTATAGGGTAAAAAGGTCCAGATAACAAATTTTTGAAAGACATAAAAAAAGCACATTTCTACAATGATGAAGTTGAAGGCAGTTTACTGAACGTAGTCAGATAATTGTTCGTTTGAAATGTGTTATTTGTTGTAATATAATTGGTTTGATTTTTATAATATAATTAATATTTGCTCAAAGTCAAATTGGACCTTTGTGCCTCGCGCTGCTCTGCATATATACGTTTTATTAAATTTATTCTAATTCATCGAATGTTACTCGAAACTTTTCAAAAAGCAGATCAAAGAAGAAATACTTAATTCATTTTCTATCTCTCCTTGCAGAAATTTTTTTTTTTTATAAGCTCAGTAGTATTATTTAAAACTAGCTGTAAGTGGAATTCTGTCTTAAGGCAATTAGGGCATCGTGCCTTAAGGCAAATTGCTGGAACTTCCCGTACCAAAAATTATTATTTTTTTAAAAACGATTAACATTTTTTTGGAAAAAAAAAATTTATATGAAAAAAAATCTTTTTTTTTGAAAAAAATTTTTTTTTTTTGATACAAAAAATTTTTTTGAAAAAAATGTTTTCTTTATTTTGACATATTTTGGAAATTCTGAACTTTTTTTTCAAAGCAATCGCACTGCTTGAACTGCTTAGAGACGAAATGTCAAAGCACGCATGTGCCGCGCCGCCGTCTAACGCATAAGCATTGGTACGGAACCCATAAAATGTAAAAAAAAAAATATACTTATTGTCAAAATCTCTATAAAATATCTGATAATTTGATGTGCATATGTCTAATGATAATTTTTTAACCGCCGAACGGCATTATTTTTACTTTTTTCATTAGATCTCCGAAACCGCTAGACCTACCTCCATGAAATTTGATCAATTCTACATCTTGTCAATACAAGTAAAATGTTTTTTAAATTATTCAAATCGGACGCTCCGTTCTCTTAAAAACGGAGGTACCGTTCTTGTCACTTTTTGCCCCGTATCTTCGGAACGGCTAGACCTGCCTTTTGCCAAAAACTAATCAGCACGTCTCCTTATCAATACGAATCGAATGTTTTTTGGAATTATTCAAATCGGTTGATCCGTGTTCCCGAAATCGTCGACGAAAATTTGTATCCGCACATACATACACACCACATACATACATACATACATACATACATACATACATACACACACACACACACACACACACACATACATCCATTTTTTCTAAGGTATGCCAAAATGTTCAGAAGGTTTTGAAACGTCGAGAAATGCAAAATTTTTCATTTTCGATTTTTTTGCGATTACTATAACTTACCCTACGGGAAGTTAATTATACACAAAATCCAGAATCCAAAAGGAATCTAAAAAACTTGAAACATAATCAATAAGTCGAAAGACCAAAAAAGACTTGGATTGAATGAATTATACCATGTTTTCTATAGAAAGTGTATAAAACTTCCAGTTTGATTGTATTGACAAAATATAGACAAACTAATGGGGTTTAATGTTTTTATAACACCTCATTGTATATAGCATTCAAACAATACATCCTTATACACTTTAAGTATTAATATTATTGATTCTCTAGAAATTGTTTAGAATATACCTTACTTAGAATTAGCAAAACAACGTTTACCGGATTAGCTAGTATATATACATATACGTTATCTCTAAATTAATTCGATTCGCTATTTGATTTTTTATTTGTTACAAAAATACGCCAACACAATGTCGTATTCTTACGTAACTGGTCATAATCTTTTTATACCTTCATAAAATAATAATAATAGTCGTATAAAACAATCAACAAATAAATCTTTTGTTTACTTTTAAAATAATATCCATATTGTTCAAACATAACTGAATGGTCGCTGATTTAGATAAATAAAATTGTAATTAAAATGATTCGTATACTAATTCAATCAAAATTTAGTCTAGAATAGTTGCAAAACTTTCTGGCAAATGAATTTGAAAATTTGGACAAAGTAAATGATCATGCGTAATAGATATAGGTACTTATATAGACGAGACTTATATAAAGTCATTCTTTAATCTTTATTATATGATCACAATTACTAAAATTGGTAAAATGATTTCAGTAGGACAAAATATTTAGTAATCATCTGAACAA